AAATAACCCCCCAACCCTGCCGTTTCAGCAGGGCTGGCTGCAGCGCGGAAGTCGGGATGGAGCGTGTAGGTTTTGTTTGGTTTTGTGGGTTTGTTTTTTTTTTCCTTCCTTAGGCTCTTTCTCTCTGTCCCTCGGGGAAACATCCCCATCCCGGTGCGCCCCGTCGGGGCCGGGTACGGGCGGTGGGAGACGTGATTTCCCCCCAAAAAAACATACACACACATCCCGTCGCTTGGAGAACCCGTTCCCCCGGCGGGAGCTCGATGCCGTCGGTCGGATAATGGGGCGGTGGGACTTTGTTTAACCCCGTTGCCCCCAGGGCCAAGGGGTCAAGGGCTTCCTCTTCCCCCGGTGCGACCGGCGTGGGACCCTCCAAACCTCCAACACCGGAGACACCGGGTTTAAGGAGGTTTTAACCCCCCTCCGCAGGCAGAGGTACCTCAGCCTCTCCCCCCGGGAGCCAAGAAACGGGAGAAACGGACAATTTTCATAGGTGACGTACGGGCTTACGTGGGAATCCGTGCCCAGCACACACCGCTTTTCCAGCTTTTTTTTTTTTTAATCTCCTGAAATAACACTTCCCTGCAGCTCGTACCCCCTCTTAACCCCCTTCTCCCCCCCCTTTTTCAGGCTCGCACCCCCTTTTTTTTTTTTTTTTCCAAGCTGGGAGGGAGGGAAAGGGAAAAGAAAAGCATCCCCCCCCCCTCCTATATCCTTCTTTTTTTCTTGCTCGGGAAAGCAGCCCCGGAGCCGGGAAAGTGGGCGATGGAGAGGGGAAGAGAGCAGGAACCGGCTCCGAGGTGGAGGGATAGCGGGTGGGATGGAGAAGGAAGGGGGTCGGGAAAGGGACCCTCCTTTTCGGGATGAAGGGAGAAGCGGCGAGGGAGGGAGGCTGGCGGCATCCGAGGTAAGTCGCCCTCCTGCCCGCACCGGTGCCCGGGAGCTGTTGGCACGGGGGCGAGATGTTTTGGGGGTGAAAAGGGGGTACCCAGGCCCCGGGGTTGCCCCATCTCCACCGCCGGGCCGAGCCGTTGCGGGGCCGGGGATGCTTTTGCGGCGGCTTCTGGAGAAACGGGTGCCGGTTATCCCGGCCTGGGGATGGAGGGGGGGGGCTTCAAGCAGCTCTTGCCCCGCTCCCTGCCCGCTCCCTCGGGGCTGAGGCGGGGTCCCCCCTGGGAGGAGCAGCCCCCGGAGCCCGCTCCCAACCCCCGGGGCTCCTCCCGTGTGTGTCTCAATTCGCTCAGGCTTGACTTGGCAATAAGCTCTCTCAATAGGGTGACAATAGAGCCCCGGTGGGACCCGAACAAAGAATTTGAAAGTAGTTAAATTGCAGGACACGTCCATCGCCTGGGTGCTTGAATGAAAAAAAAAAAAAAAAAAAAAAAAAAAAAGGAAAAAAAAAATCAGAGAAAAGAAAAAGGAGAGAGACTTTTCTTTGGGCTGGTGAGAAAATGCTCAGGGTAAAAGTTGGTTTGGCGTCTTCATTTCAGCGACAATGGAGCAGAGCTAATTCAATAGGAAACGCGGGGATTTTTTAATGAAAAGACCGCCAGGGTTACACCGAAGTTAAGCTCTTGTGAATTAATTATTAGG